ACTACTTTTTAAGCCAATTCTAACTATGTTGGTATAGAAGCTGCCATTTCTTGCTACTTTTAGTCACAGCTTTGAATATCTTAGATTGCATTTCATACCTCAATTTTGGGGCGTGATCCTATGACCATCCTATACTTTGTCTTACCAATCCAGTTCATTTCTAAGGGGTTTATCATGTTTTACACTCTTCTGGCTTGTCCTTCTCGTGTACTCACTCGTCAGTAAAGAATTTGATCCAATGGGAATAAATGTGTGATTCATACCACTTAAAATTCCAAATGTCACGTAAGTACCTCTGTGGTTGTATGAATGTTGTCTTGTATAATTGTGTAATTCTGACTCTCATCTGTGTAGTGGGAAAAGAACAAAATAGTAGAAATAGATAGGAAATGAGTTTTAAACCTGGTTATTTGTCGTGTGGGTTTAGTGTCCTAAAATTGGTGTGGGGCGATTCACTGTTAGATACCTCTGCTTTCAAGTTAAATGTAACTAAATTCAGGTTTTTTGGCACATTTTGCAAATACACCCTTATTAAGTTAAAGGGCATTTTAGATTTTTAGTTTCAACCCACTTAGCTTTGGGAAAAAAAATCTCCTTTATCCTGAAACAGGTAGAGAAGTAGGGGCCTGTTCTGTACGTGGAAAACACTGAGATTTATTCAGACAGAAGAGAAAAAAGAAAAAAAAGAAAAAGAAAAACATTGGAAAAGAAAATGTGTTATAATTTGCTATCCAAACTTGAGAGCCTTAGCAACCTCACACTAATGACATCCAAGATATATGCTTAAGTTTCTTCTAACTATATGTGAATGAGATCTGCAGAAACCAGCTTGAATGGGGAGTAGGCAATGTAGCTAGACAACTGGAATAATTCTGAAGAGGAGAGTGTCTTAAATATTCACCTGCCTGGCCTGTTTTATGGCTTCTCACTTCATTTGTGATTCTGAGTGGTCGCTGGAGGCTAAGCTGAAATTTGAGAGGGTATTTCCAGGATTGCCTGGAATAGAGCGAGGTTAGGAGCAGGTCCTCCCTTTGTTTTGCTAGTACTGTAAAGCATTCAACCAAGATTGTTATCAGAGGTAGAGTGCTCTCTTGTGCTTATGTGGGTTTTAAAACCTTATCTCTCATTTCCCAAGGTAGAGCCTTATTCATCAAGACCTAAAGGCATGATGGTGAGTTTGGAGGAAGATGTCTTTCTGTCAGTCTTTCTGTACTGTTTTTGAATGGATTCATTAAACCTTCATCAAGCCTCTGTTGGCAGATAAAAGGAAGGCATTAGTCAGAAAGCGGCAGGCAGCTCTGAAATAATAGCTCATCTGAACTGTGTGAGCACTTCAACCAGCTAAAACGTGCTTGGAGAACAATGATGAGATGGAGAAAGAGGAGGGATTAGTTCATGAATTGTGATGAGGCTTTGGTGTAAAACTGTGAAGGTGACAGTGACAAGCTGAGGTGCCCAGCATGTGTCAGTGTTGAAATACTAGTGTTCTCAGATTTTAGGGCTATTTGAGGTTTAACATGATTTGTGGGGAATTTGTGAGGGTCTCATTTTTCAACAGACTTCTAAGTGTCTAAGATGCTTGGAAGATGCCCAGATCCATAAGCCATTCTGCTCTACAAGGTATGATACCAGAGCATGTTAGGCAAATCATCATGTGTCGGGGCTTGTAAAAATGGACTTCAGCTTTGGGTTTATGGATGAGGGGAATGTTGTTAAGGATGTTTCTCGGGAGCTGCTTTGCTCTCAGAATATTACCTTTCAGTTTATGACTGTTATTTAATATTCCCAATGATAACACTGGGCTTCCTGTCCTTAGCTAAGCTGCATCTTGCTCCTTTCTGGTTGATTCAGTTGTTAACCTGTGACATTCACCATCTCCTCCTGTCTGCTTCTCTCACAACTAAGTTCTTTCCTTCCCTATTGATGAGTTCTTTTCTAATTGGTAAACCTTCCTCTCTTGATTACTTCTGTTTGGGCAGCTTTTAATGTGTGCAAAGATGCCGTGTAATCAGGGTATAGAGAAGTTAGCCAATCTTTTGGCTAATGCATACAATAGACAGGTAGAACTAATGAGTGACTAAGCTAAGCATTACTGTGCATGTTACCCACAGTGAAAGGGTTAACAAGCGCATCTGGTCCAGACAGTCATGTCAGTCATGTGGAGAAAAATATTGATTTTTGTTGCACCTCTGTAACTGGCTGATCCTCAGCCTCGCAGAGATGCTGTCTTATAAGCCTCTTATTTCTTTAAGATTTTTAACTTTTCATGTCCGTATTTTTCTTCACCATCTCGACAATTCCACTTTCGGTCTCTCCCTTGGTGTGAATTTAATTAACATACTTTCTTACACCTTACAATTTCCCCAGCCAAAAGTGAGTGAGGTTGCACAGTTGTGTGATGCCAAACTAGGTCTTGCATCAGACAACTGTTCCCTAGGACTGAGACATGGTATCTTTCAGGCTGTGAAAGACCAAGTTAACATTATTTGTCTTTTATGGGTTTGGAATGCATACATTGTAGAGCAGTTCAGAACAGTATAATACTCCTCTTAACTTTCCCATTATAATATTGCTGTATTTTCTTCCTCTGGTTGCTTCAATCTTTTTTCTTTTTCAAGTTTTCCTCTCAAAGTAACCATTTCTCTTTACTTTGTATTCGCTTTTCTTCATTACTTCTCTTTTGAGGTTCTCCAGGAATTCTAGCTCCCAAGTGCGGGTCTTCAGAATTGCATCAGAATCGGTACCTAAAAAGCCGAAGTCACAAAAAGTGACCAGGTTGACTGGCTACTGCTTTTATCCTTGTGAAGGATACATCTGAGGTTAATGGGCCAGGGAGCTCAGTTAAAATCAATTAGTAGTTGCTTTGCCTCACTGAAGTGATACAAGGCACCACAAAAACAGCAGTGAATCTGGACTGAATAATTCATGTTGTAAGTAAATGCCAATGAATAACAGGCTATAGAATACTGTGTACTGTTTTCTTCCCACTCTTACAAACATTTCAGATATTGTATATGTCTAAAAAAATGGTCAGTCATTAAACAGTGCAACAAGAACCTGCCTTCCTTCCCGTGTGCATCTCAAGAAAAACACTTCTGTACTTTCTTTGATACTTAATAATCGATGAGCTTTTATTGCCAGCCCCAAATTGATTTGCTATTTTTGTGAAAGTAGGTACCTAACTTTGTTGGATATATTCTGCTGTGTAAACAAACTTTATTGAAATTTTACAGTAAGTTCAAAAGTTGCCAGGTGACCAGTCAAATTAGAGTGATCATGTTAAGTTTGATTTCTTGGGGAGCATCTCCCTGATGCTTCAGACAATGGTTGCTCAAATGAGTCTGTAGGAACCCAGGTGGGCAGCTGGTTAAAATTCAAAGCTCATGCACCTTAGTTGGACAACCAGTACGCACTGTTTTGTTTTTTGCTGGTGCATTAAAAACTGCAGTTGTTGCCCCCTATTTTTGTGCAAGTATATTTAAAAATGTGACAGTATACTGATCTAAATTACACTGCAGTGTACACCTTTTAGACACACAGAAGACATGATGTTAACTCTTTCTTTTACAGCTTGAAAGATACTGGGTCAAACTTAATATCTTCAAAATCAGTGACTGGCAGGATGAATGGATGGCGGTTAAATATGAAATTAAAACAGAGATAGATTGTTCATTTAAAAAGCTCTTTTCTGAGAAATTTAAAAGGGTTTATTTCTATTTAAAGTCATAAGAGAAATGAAACAGCAGAGTGTAACTTCATGCTACTCTGTATTAAATTGTAATACACTAAATTTCCTACCTCCTTATTAAATCGCAATGACTTTCCAGACTTTGCATCTTAGCACTACCTGCTATGGTACTGCACCCTGTGCCACGTGGTCTAGGTGTCCCTGCTGGACCAGGGGGTTTGGACTGGATGATCTCTAGATGTCCCTTCCAACCTAACCTGTTCTGTGATTCTGTGATTTTGAGCAGTACCTTCAACAGATGATATAATAATACCTATAAGAGTGATTGCGCGTGGGTTTGGTAATTTGAGGTTTGCCTGATGCCTGTTTTCCCTCAACTTCCTTGCATGAAAGTGCCCTGCTGGATGTTTTTATCCATGTAGCATAACTTCAACTGTAGTGTTCTGGAATGCTTTTGCAAAACAAGCTTCCCATCTGAAGGAGCATTCAATGAAAGCAGATGTTGTTGAGTTGAAGTTGGCCTGGATTTTTTTTCAGCTGATGTGAGACACTTGATTATCTGGACAACAGGCAGTTAGGTCTGCAGAATGCATACAGTTAATTTAAGATGAAGATTATTGTTACTTATTAATAGTGATTCTATTCTGAATGTGAAACTAATTGGATAAATGATCCATTCAAAGGAGGGGAAAAAAATCTAATTACTTGCATAGGTGGGGCCTTCTCCTATATGTTATTAGAGGGGTTTGAAGCCAAGATCTTAGGACTCTGTCCCTGGAGTTTTATTTTTCTGCAGAATGGCTGCTGTCAAGAACTTGACACTCATTTCAGTCTGACTCGCAAACTTCATGATTGTTATGTACAGGCATGATTATTAGTTTTGTTGCATAGATGTCTCATGTTTGAGTCAGTTGTTGGAGCATAGGAGATGTTCATTACATTATAATGAGAGGAACAATACTTTATTCCCACCTTATGACCAAGTATTACTTAATAGTAAAAACAACAAAGTACATAATATAAAAGGCAGAAGCTAGAAAAGTTTAACAAGCATCTCTGGCCTCTTCCTGTCCAGTTAAGAGTGTGACTGCCAATGGGAAGTTATTTCAGAATTAAGTGATTCAGAAGAACATAAAGGAAACATCGCTCAGTATATCTGCAATAATTATACCTCATTTCAAAGCATGAGGATGATAAAAATATGCTAAATCTATTGGTAGTGCTTCTTATTTGCCAGATAACTAACTGAGTTTTAGCAGTTTTTCCCCTGAGTGTTGCAGCGTATTCTAAGGGAGTTTGTTTTATTTTGCAGGTCAAGCCTTAAGGGTATCAGCAGAGGATTTTACCAGTGATCCCTGCTACCTACCCAAGAGGCAAGCTGTTGTCCAGGCAGCCCGGGCGCTGCTTGCAGCTGTAACAAGGCTTCTTATTCTGGCAGACATGGTTGATGTGGCATACCTGCTGGAACACTTAACTGTGGTGAGTAAAAACAGCCTTGCCTGAGAACAGACACTATTTCTTAAGGCTATTCTGACTTGAATTTTTTTTTTCCACCCTTGGAAGCTGCAGACCTCATACATGCAACATCTTGCCCATTGATAGAAGTGCAGATTTTAGATAAGGTTTGTAGAATATACTATAAAAACTTCTAAACTTAACAGGCTTGATCTGGAGAAGATTGTTATTTGTAGGATTACATTTTAACTTCCTTTATTTCTCATTTCCTATTTCTTTATTTGAATTATTGTATAGCTACTTATGTATGATACCATTTTGATATTTTATGTCAAATAATGACAGGCAGACTTAAAGGGGATCAGTACGAAGGAAGTGTGTTTTGCTCAGCATAGAGGAATGAAAATTAGACTCCAAATGAGAGTAGGAACTAGTTTTGCTTCATCTCGTATTATTTCGCAATAAAACATTGTATATGTTTTAGTGCTTTACTTGAAACTTTCAAGTGTTGGAAATACAGCGCATGAATGAATCACTGGCACGCAGAAGCTTCTGTGTAGTTATAGGCATATGAAATTTGTCATTTGTAAAGATATGTCTAGAGTTTACACGGGTATTTTCATGATCCTAGATGGACCCCTTTAAAATTCTTTAATTACATTTTACGTAAGAGTGTTAAAACTGAATAGTTTTCTTTATTAGAGTTTCAGTATTTCTGTACAATGCTACAATTCACTTTTTTTGAAAATGAAATCTAACAATAAATGGTAGCCATAAAATAATGAAAAGAATCATTTGGAAAAACTCAAACCCTGTGGGGGCTGCTATTAAGCTATCTTCCTCTTCTATGATAAAATTTAGTTCCCTTGATAGGACTGAGAATTGAATTCCTCAGTTAATTCTTAGAAAAAAAAAATGTGGCATTGAACTCCCCAAAATGGCCATGTAGGAAGGCTTAGCTTTGTCCTAGAGGAAGGTAGTACATTTTCCATGTCAATCCAGTCTCTGCTCTGGCTGCTGAACTTGTCAACACTGGTCCTAAACACTGAGTCCTAAATTGCTCTTTTCAAAGTCCTTAGCTTTAACTGTGCTAGCTTAGAAGTCTCTTAGGAATTCTGATTTCCCTAAATTTGGATCTGCTCTGAGTTGTGGCTGCACAGGGGGCAGCATTCCCAGGGCAGCTGCAGTGTGGAAAGAGACCGTGTCTTTGCTGTATCAGCTTGATATTCTGAATGCTTGCAAGTTCATATCACTTGGAAATACAATTTTCTTTAAGTCTTTAGCAGTATTTCTTTGAACTTGTTCTAAAATAGGAATACTTGTACCATTTTATCCTCTTCACAAAGAACTGAACGATATAGCTATTACTAATCATTTGAGAAGAGACGAGAAATTTCATTGCCTTTTATTTCCATAACTCTGAGCTCTGTAATTTTCATTGAATAAAATCAAGAAGTTTAAAGCAGTGAACCAAAATTAACTCTAAAAATGAAGACAATTATATTGAATTAAAATAAAGTAAAAATCCTAACCAAGGAAGTTTCTATATATAGGATTAAAAACAAAACAAAATGGTCTAGCATTACTAGATACCATTTATAATGTGTTAATCTAGTCTTATGAAATAAGAAATTATTTCCTTGGAAGTTACCCATTTTTATATCTGTTATTTATATACTCCTTCCTTCAGGGATGCTGGAAGTTTCATCTTGTTCATTTGGTAGAATTCGTTGGTTCCAACGCTGTCATCCAAAAAATTTTGGGCATACTTTTTCCTGGATAAAAATAGGATCACGTAGGCAATATTTTCACACTCACTTGTACTGACAGAATACAGTCTTGGTCATTAAACTTTAATTTCATTCTGTAATCATGGAGTAAATATAGAAAGGAAACAATGACTATGTGACTAGCTGTCATATAAATCCCCTAAGTGTTATCTGTTGCATCTGCCATTGTGAGATATTGAGGAAAAAATGAATCCCAAAATCCCTCCTTCCAGTTCACATGCTTTATAAGAGAGCATTGTCTTTTCTGTTAGTTTTGTTTAGACTTGTGATTTTTTTGATTTCTAAATAATAAATTATTACTATAAAGGAGAATATAATGTTGGAGCAAAAATTTTGTGATGAAAATATTCAAATGCGGTGTCTTAACTAGAAAGGCCAGTTTTCTTGGAAGAATTTGATAAAACATGGCAGGAATTCCATTCCACATCAAATATTGTCCAAAAACATTGTGAATAACCAGGTGCATCATGAAAATAACTGAATTTAATGTGTGCTTCAAATCTTCTCTAATAAGGCAGAAAGAGAAAATTTCCGTTCTTTCTTCACTCTGTAGAGTTCTCACCCCCAAAATATGTACCAAATAATGGATCTTATAAGGTAGTACAGCTTCTCAGTGACTGATGTTCTGCCCTAGTATGTTTTTAGTTCTTCATGGAACTTGCAGCTTACTACAGATACGGAACTTAGAGCCTGCAACAGATATGATGGTGCAGTGCAAACAGCAAGCTCGTTTTCATTAATGTTGTCTGAGAAAATGAAAATGAAGTGTATTTTATTGATAAGGAAAGTCTGTTTCTTTAAACAACTTCTTTTTTTAAGAAGGGAGGAGTTAAACAGCTGTCTGTCTGATCCCCTATGTTATAGAGTTAGAATCTCTAATCATAAAACTGAGTTGTGAGAAATATAGTTAGGCAAAGGGCTATCTTGTGAATGATTTTTTTATCAGAGGTCTATTATCAGACTACTCATTTTGATTGGTGATGTTCAATATTATTTAAGTGAATTAGACTAAGCCTACTCATTTTGATTGGTGATGCTCAATATTATTTAAGTGAATTAGACTAATGGAATTGCGTGAATTTATTGATTGGAGAGAAAAGCAAGAAGGTAACAAGTTCAGAAAATTTAATTTGGAGAGCATTGACAGCATACTTTTTTAAAAACCTGTTTCAATTTGTGCTGAACCAATATGTTTTATCACTCATTTCCCCCCGCATTGTCCTGTGCGTAGGTTTACAGTTTGACTCTTCATATTTTTCATAGACTTCTCAGCAGACAGTGATCATTATAAAACACTTGCTTAACATTGTTTACAATTCTTGCCATGGAAAAAAAAAGAATGGCTACAGATAAGAAGCAACTTAGACCTCTTAGGTCTATGCTCTGTGGGCATAGTGCTGCCTGCATGGCTGTCTGCACAGCTCTTCATGTGGCTATATGGTTGCATAAAGGAGGACATGTAAGTCATCTTAGACTCGCCTGTGGTTCAGATTTGGGTATTCATTGCACAACTTTGCTCTAACTAGAATTTAGTGACTTACTCTTCACTTCTGGTTATTTTGATACTGTAGTATCACGCAGTGTAATATAACATTAATAAATAAAAAAATGTATAAAAGTAGAGAAGCAGGCCAGTCTAGGGTACAAGCTCAGATTGTAAAACTGAAAGTGATCACAGTCTTCCATTTGACTTCAGTGGGTATGGGTTGCAGGGTTTGCAGGAGTGTTTGAGAGAGGATTTGACTCTCCTTTGATTCGTGCTGATCTTTATTTTCTGATCAGCTAGCAGAAGGGTATCCTTGCTGCTATTCTGAGGTCAGTATATGCCTTGTGGAATGCATTGAATTTGTGATTCAGGCTTCAGTGTTTTTCATTGCACTTCACGAATTCGGTAGCATCTTTATTGTGCAGTAAGTGACCAAAGAAAAGCAGCATTTAACCATGACTTAATTGCGTTTTTCAAAGTGAACATCCTCTCTAGTACCATCGGAGCCTGGATACACTTCTGTTGCTGGTACAGGGGCTATTTTATAACTCCCTAATGACTCCTGGCTTTAAAAACCCCCAGGCTTCCCTTGAACAGGAATACACTCAACAACTCTCTTCTGACAAACTGTTGCCCGGGAACAGTCTCCCCAGTGACTGCAGTGCTGTTTATGTAACATCCCTGGTTTTGCTCTTAGCCTGGGAATCGCTGGAGAAAGAACATTCTGCTCTTCCTACCAGGTAGAAACATGACTTTGAAGGAGCCTTAATTGGCTAGGCAGCTTCAGGTAATACTGCTCAAGAATTTCTTTTGAAGTGAGCAAACCAAAGGCTCCCAAAACTATTTTACCAGAATACAGAAACACTAAATGGAAGACAGTAGATATATTTTGAAGAGAAAAATAGAACTGCCAAGATAAAAACACACTTAAATGAAAAGGCTTGAAAACAAATCCGATCTCTGCTTCTTTGTAGCGTAGAGCCTTCCCTTCGGTCTTGTTTCTAGTTCAGCATGTCTCAGCGGCTTCCTGGTTTGCAGCAGATTATTCAGTCTCCATGAGCATTGAAAACTTTCTGTTGTCACATCTGTCACATAGGTGTGGGTCTGCCTTCATCTGAACTCCTACTGCTCAGGAATTTTCAGGGCTGCAGGTGCCCTCTTTGCTGCCTCATTTTTTCCTGTCCTATGCAGTATCCTGGAAAACCCTCCAAAGCATGAACAAAGTTTACGTAGTAGATTTGAGAGTGAGTTGTTCCCATCTCTTCCATAATGTCCATCTGTTTCAGAGTACAGGAGGATCAGATCCTCGCTGAAGTCATCATGACAGAGCAAGGAAATGGGCAGCTTTCACCCCTGCTGCTTGGCCACCACCTTTTTAGCAGAAGGCACATCATGTCCATCTATGTATACTCTAGCAAAAGGAAGGTAAAGCAGCAGAAAGCAATAGGTAGCCCTCTAAAAATCCCTGCTTTGGTGGCAGCTAGTTTTGTTGCCTGTAAAAGGGGGTGTTGGGCAGGGATGTACACCAGGAAAGGTAGATATTGTCTTTTTTTTTCCTGGTGAAGAAAGGAATCAAGGGAATATTTCTGTAGTCTGGGGAAAAACTAATTTAGGCAATAGTGGTATCTCTGTGCTTGCCTGAAGTGGAATATAAGCTGCATCCTGTCACGTTCACAAACAGGAAAAAATAATGATGAATACAAATTTATCTGGTCTCACATGACTGTAATCTTTATGTAAACTGTTTA